TTTTATTTTTCGATTTAACAGAAAGTTAAAGATATCAAAACTATAATAATTTAATGTCCCACAGCATGTTCTTGAGGGCTTCTATCGGATTCGAGAAGTAATAATGCATGTGCCGGAGATCTCTAGTCGCCTCATCCAGTCCGATAGTCATTCGGTAACAGACGTGGATGTCGCCGACGTTGTGAACGGCCAACAACAGATTTCTGATGGTGTCCATAGTCAAAAGAATGGTCTTCTCGTCGTTCGAATCGGGAAAGATGGCGTCACGCCATCTTCTGAGATTGCAAACGGCGAATTCCAAATCGATTTCTTAGCGGTCTCCCTGTACATACGCTTACGTGTTTTTGTAGCCAAATCGAAGGATTTCCGGCCGACTTCCGGATTTCGGTGGATGCCCAAAGCAACGTTGAGAATGGCATCGAGTTCATCTCCTTCGTATCCGAAGATGTGTAGATTGTCGGGATACGTCGCCCTGGCTCTTCGCAGAGATTCGATGCAGGCGTTCATGTCGTCCGGGGAGTCGGCTTTCTCCAGGTCGGCCATCAGGATGTCGGCGAATTCTAAAGGAGAGGAATCCGGGTGTCGCCCTATCTCGTCGTGCTCGACGCCACGAACGAGACTGCGAGTGTGATAGCACAGACTTTTGATTCTGTAAATATCGTGCTCCCTGCTCAACCTCTTTCTCTCCGCTATCTTTTCATTCAGCAACTCCTGTTTGGCGATGGCTTCGAAGCCGCACGGACGCCGTTGGACGATCACCCTCCTGTTTCTGACTATCGGTTCCTGGTCGGATAGAGGTGTCTCGTTGTCTTCCAGATGCAGGACGAGCATCAACTCGTTTCTGTTCATGCCTCTTCGTTCCATTATCTTTCTCTTGGCGTCTCCGTAGGAATCCACATTATCGACGGCGTACCAGTCCTTTTCCGATTTGAACCTGTATTGAAGTCTGCGATCTACTTGAGACGACATATTTTGCGGTATGTTTCCCGATCTCGAATCGCGGTGCACTTATATGCTAAAACAGTTCGCAGACGTCATCGAACTTTCGTGACGTCAAGGGTACCAGAACTCATTCAGCCAATAGCGCGTGAGATGTTATCGATGACGAAGCCTCAAAAACGCCCTCACTCGCAACGTCATCGCTCAAAAAACACATGACGTCACTTCAGTGAAGTCGAGGGTACGCCAGCGGTCCTTGAACGGATGACGTAGAGTTTTCAAGTTCTTTATCACGGCAAACCTGCGAAGGGTGGCACACCGTACAAAGAATTCGCCATGGAGAAGGACACGAAGACGAAGATTAGCGTATCGAAGAAATGCCGCAGCCGCCAAAATGAAGACGATCAGGTTAGATACTTCTTGGTTCGTCTCAGGTCAAGAAGGGAACCGAGAGGTAACCCTTCGCGACAGGTTGAGCAAGACCGGTTGGGATTGGTGGAGGGTGATCGAACGGGACGTGACCGACGAAGCAGAAGACCACGACGACGACGACGATATCCTGCCCACGTTGACGAACGGCGACTTGGATATCAAGCTTTCGGAATTCGTCGCGACCGAGCAAGCTCGCCGAGCTCTGCGATAGGTAGTCCGCCCGAAACAGTGGATATTGATGGATGCCGACACTCTTGTTTGTTACCACGAGGAGGAAGGGAGCATATTTCTCACGGCTCACCGACTCCCCGCGTACGTGTACCGAAAACTGTGCTGCACGAATCCCGATCGCATCCGATTCGCGTTTGCGACAGCATCAGCCGCGGCAGTTGCGAGCGCAGGGAAAGGCGATCTTTACTCGAACATTCCGGTAAGGTACGGCGATCGAGAGACGACGTTCGACGTTCGAGACGTCAGCGCCTTGTTCTACAAGGTGCTGCTCACCAACCACACGGAATACGCGCATCCCGAGTCATACCGAAGAGCGCTGACGGCGAGCGCAAGGAAACCCCCATGGAGGACCACGGAACGACACAGGATACTGGTACTGCCTCTGCCGCGCCCTGCGCCAGACGTGCGGTTTCGCGAGATCGCCATGAGATCCGTTGACTTCACGACGGAAGCGAGAGAGAGGCTGCTTCCTTTGCAACCCGGCGAATCGGGTGCGTTTTATTTCGGCGAACCGGTCGTCAGAGATAAGAAAGGGGAAGAGACGGTACTCAGGGCAGGCGACGTCCTGACTTCGGCGGCCTATCGCAAGTTGTTCTCCGATCGAATTCCGGAAGTGCATGAACGCCGTGTACAGGTTCGCTCGATGTCCCGTCGTCAGAAACGATCTGGCAGATGGCGAGGTCGATTTTCACTTCTAGGCTCCCCTTCCTTAGGGGGAAAAAGGTAGGATTCCTATCTTCAGTATGAACGTCATCGGTCACCGACGCGGCTGGCCACCTATGATGAAAGAATCGACGTTATGTTCGCTGATCTCGTCCTGCATCGCGACTTCGCACGTGGTGGACGTTCTTCTTCAGGCGAACATGCATCCCATTGTCGATTGGTACGCGATATTCCTGCCCGCCTTTCTGTACGCGTCGTTCGTCAAAGTCGGAGGGCCATCAAGTCTGGTATCGGCGTGCCGGCTGAGTCTCTGCGCGTCCGCCAACATTTCGTTCTTCACAAACCTGAAATTTCTGATTGGACCGTGCGGGGCATCGTATCTGGATCCGTTGCGGGAATGCGGTGCAGAAGGAACGGATCGCACCTGTCAATGAGCCGTGTCGGACGCTCTCAAATGGGATGCCGACCATCGTCGATGTCCGGTCGTTTAACTAGGAGGGACTGCCGGATCAATCTACTACTTCGTGCAGTTTGCGCTCGTGTACATGCCGACCGGAATAGCACCGGCGATGCTGCACATAACCAATTCGTCCGATGGCTTTCGTAGCGGCAGCGGTTGGGGGTGGTACAGAAACGCGGGCATTCCGATCGTCGTGGCGACCCTGCTTGTGGACGTGTTCGCAGGAGCGATCGTCTACCCTCTGTCTTCGGAATACGTGGTGCACGCGTTCGTGTTCGCCGCCGCGATCTCCAGGTACGCATCGCTCTCAGACGTGTGGGAGGCGGCGTCTCTGGCAAGCGTAGCGATCGCCACCGTCGACCTCGTCAGAAACGTGCTCGTCTACAAACTCGGCCCGTGCGCCTTCGACGGTCAGGACTTGATGGAGTGCGATACGTCCTTGGGCGACTGCTACGAAAACCTTCTGGACCTCAGCGCCAACAGCATCGACGCCGCCAACTGTCCGATCAACAAGGTCGGACGACACTGGGCGATCGTTCTCACCGCCTCGCAGGCCATCAGGTTCTGCGTCGTGGTCGTTCTCCAGAGTTTCCTGCTTTCGCGGAAAGGGGTCAGGTTGTTGCGATCCGGCGACCAACGAGGCGAGAAGGACAAGGCCAACGACGACCACTACGACGACGATTCGAGCGACAAGGATCAGGACGTCATTTTTCAAAGAGGACGTAACGTGTGACGTGATGTAATTTTACCTTTATATTTATTTTTTGATTGTTTTTCTTCAGTCCGATTCTCCTTATACCAAAAGGATCAAGTTCGACGACGAAGACGACGACGACGCAAGCACCTCCCAAACTGTTGGCGTCGGCGACGATCGAAGAGAAGCTGAGACTGCAGACGGCAAAGGAAACCTAACGGAATCTTTTCTCGAGGACTCTCAACTTCCCGTCGACGACGAACGAGCAGCCGGAGAAGGAAACCTCGCCGACAACTTTCCGGAGGATTCTCAGCTTCCAGTCGAATCGTCGGACGAACAGGACATTTCCGACCAAGACACGGTCGTTTACGGAGACAAAGAACTGGAACAGCAACTGGACGACTGGCTGTTCTCGAAAATGTTGAAGTACAACCCGTCTTCGGAATAGAATTTAAAAAAAATGTTCCGATATATTAAATACTAAAGAAAAAAGAAAAACACGAAATCTTATAT